TCCAGCTCTCACATGCATATAAGGCAATTGAAAATATCATGGCTTGTGTCAAGTGCACCTTAGTCCTCAAGGAGGCATTGTTGCTCTTCAGCACTTGAAAGAGGTCCTTTGTTGCCGATTTGCCCAGTGCTATCTGAGAGCTCTGGTAGCATAGTGGCTAAGGCACTTGACTGCTAACCAGAAGTCTGGCGGTTCAAACCCACCAGCCACTCCTCGGAAGGAAGATGGGACAATCTACTTCTGTAGTGATACTGCCTCGGACACCCAAGGAGGGATTGCTATGAGTTGGGTCTGATTCGACGGCACATAACAACAACATATGTCATCTGATATCCTGACTGTTGCTTCCATTGGCATCAATTGTAGAACCAAGCAATGTTAAGTCTGACAATTTCAACCTTTTCTCCGTTTATTGTGATGCTGCTTATAGGACCAGTTGTGAGGATTTTTGTTTTCTTTATATTGAGATGTAATCCATACTGCAGACTGTATTCTTCAATCTTCATCAGTAAGTGCTTCCATTCATCCTCACTTTCAACAAGCAAAATGTGTCATCTGTATATCTCAGGTTGTTAATGATTCTTCCTCCAATCCTGATGCCATGTTCTTCTTCATATAGTCCAGCTTCTTGGATTATTTGCTTAGCATATACATTGAATAAGTATGGTGAAAAGATACAACCTTGACACACTTCCTTGTTGATTTTAAACCATGCAGTGTCCCCTTGTTCTGTTTGAATGACAGCCTCCTGGTCTATGTACAGGTTCCTCACGAGTACAGTTAAGTGTTCTGGAATTTCCATTCTTCTCAATGTTATCGGCAATTTGTTATGATCCACACAATCAAATGCTTTTGCATAGTCAATAAAACATAAGTAAACATCTTTCTGGTATTCTTTGATTTGAGCGAAGATCCATCTGACATCAGGAATGATATCTTTTGTTCCACATCCTCTTCTGAATCCTGCTTGCACCTCTTGAAGTTTTCTGTCAATATACTGCTATAACCATTTTTGAATTATCTTCAGTCAAATTTTACTTGTGTGTGATAGTACTGCTATTGTTTAATAATTTCAACATTCTGTAGGATCATCTTTCTTTGGAATGAGTACAAATATGGATCTCTTCCAGTCAGTTGGCCAAATAGCTCTCTTCCAAATCTCTTGGCATAACTGAGTGAATGCCTCCAGTGGAGCATCCGTTTGTTGAAATATCTCAGTGGGTATTCCATCAATTCCTGGAGCCTTGTTCTTTGCCAGTTCCTTCAGTGAAGCTTCAATTTCTTTCTTCAATACCATTGGTTCTTGATCCTATGACACCTCCTGAAATGGATGAAGATTGACCAGTTCTTTTTGGTGCAGTGGCTCTGTATATTCCTTCCATCTTCTTTTGATATTTCCTGCATCATTCAATATTTTGCCCATAGAATCTTTCAATATTGCAACTTGAGGCTTAATTTTTTTTCCCTCAATTCTTTCAGCTTAAGAAATGCTGAGTGTGGTCTTCCCTTTTGATTTTCTAATTCTAAGTCTGTGTACATTTCTTTTTAGTAATTGGCTTTGTCTGCTGGAGTTGCTTTTTGAAATCTTCTGTTCAGCTCTTTTATCTTGTCATTTCTTCCATTTTCTTTAGCTACTCTCCACTCAAGGGCAAGTTCAGAGTCTTTCTGACATCAGTTTTGGTCTTTTCTTCCTTTCTCACCTTTTTAATGACCTCTTGCTTTCTTCATGGATAATTTTCTTGATGTCATCCCTCAATTCTGGTTTTCTGTCATTGGTGTTAAATGCATCAAATTTATTCTTTAGATGTTCTCTAAATTCAGGAGGGATATGTTCAAGATCATATTTTGGCTCTCATGGACTTGCTTTAATTGCCTTCAACTTCAAGTTGAACTTGCATATGAGCAGTTGATGGTCTGTTCTACAATCAGCTCCTGGCCTGGTTTTGGCTGAAGATATTGAGCTTTTCC